TTTTTAATGGTAGTAGTGTATATATATATATATATATATATATATATATATATATATTGTATATATTTTTTTATTTATTATTAAATAAAATGTCTTATATGTTTAAATTTTTTTATTATTGATGTGTTAATTATTTCATGTATATTTAAATCTAATTATATATATTTTTTAAATAACAATAAATTATTATACTCAGTTTGATGTACAAACATAATAATGATATAATTTGAAAACAAACTTTTTCCTTCAGTGCATAAAGCTCTGATATATTTAGATTGTATGTAGAAATAAATGTATTTCCTGGTCAAAGCAGCTCCAAATGATAGAGCAGGTCACAAATAATCACAGCCATGCTATCAGCATTCATTTAATCGCTCTATACTCGTACTCTACGTCAACTGTTGTCACATTTGTATCTATTTTTCAGGAATTTTGACACTTAAGTTTCCTAAACTATGAAAGAGCAACCTATAACCAGTTTATTTATTTTTGGGTCATTTTGAAACTCTTTCTCAGGCTCAACCCAACAGCAAGTACAAGACGAGTATGTGCAGGGACTTACGGCAGCAGGGCGGCTGTCCGAGAGGGGCCAGCTGCACCTTTGCCCACACGCAGGAGGAGCTGGAGAAGTGAGAACACACACTCTTTCCCTTTCACACACATACTGTACACACAATCTTGATGACCGTATCCAGCCAGTCTCATGCTGTAATGCACAAAAGAGCACCTCCCCGCCTTCCCACGTCTCCCGTTCCTCATTCTTATTCAGGCTCACCCACACGATCCCTCCAACACAACAGCAAGCTTTACTGTGGCAGGGTCTGCCGTCACCCCATTTCCTCTCCTCATCTTTCTGTCTCTTTCAGGCACAGAATGAGAAGTAGGAAAGCCAGTGGGGCGGTGAGGCCCTTCCCGTCAGTTCCAGCGGTTATGCCCAAAACCGGCACCAAAGGAGCAGTCCCAGGGTCAGACGGGAAGAACCACGAGAACGACGCCCCAGAGGACGCGTCTCCCACTCAGCTCATCCCTAGAGGAGGAGACCACCAGGAGGACAAAACGCTCCCCAGCAGAGTGAACGGACTGCCTGCTGCCAGCCTAGAACAGTAAGTGTGCTTCACTATTGCTGGAGCTCATACTTCTACATTCAAGCTTGTTGAGGAGACGTGTGTATTGCTTTCCAAATGGTTGGACTTGCGATTGTCAGGGATGAAACTGTCACTTTTCAGCAAAAAATCAGATAACGATTCCATTTCAATCGCAAAATAGGGCATTTGAATGCAAACATTTAAATGCAAAGATATTTAGCCAACCAAATATATTACTATTGTAATTTTAATGTTGTTCTGTAAAATTATTATTATTATTATAAATACTCATTATTTTATTTTATAGGACAATATTATTTTACTCTAGTAATGTATTCCTTTCTTTATTTGTTTCATTTAATAATAATGATAATAATAATAACATATATTTATTAATAATAATAATAATAATAATAATAATAATAATTGTTATAATATAAGTAT